TGTTACAATGTTACTAAACCCACAACAGTAAAATCAGTCTGTATATGCAGTAAAGCATTCTTGTTATACTCACTGTGGAACCTAAGGGGTTAATCCTCTGCATTGTGTAAAAACACTGTTTGATCCTGACTTCTTTGATCCTCCCCTTCTTCCAGTGCTCCCCTCTTATCTCCTGATAAGACATATCATGTAGAGTCACTCTACACATGCTCAGCTTAGTGTGTATTGCTAAAGAGGTTTTTTTTTTCTTGGGAGGGTGCATGTGATCAGCACAGGGCTAATTAGCACTGTCCAGACAGAGGTCAGGGGTCCTCCATCCTCCTAGAGCAAAATTAAAATTTCTCCTACAAGCTTTAACCAGTGCTCTGCTGGACACTGATAGAAGTCACAGACTGCTCTAACTGCTGATGAGAAAAGGTATTTAGCAGTTTATATTTACTAAAATAGTTGCATTTCCATGTTGTGTGTACTGTGGGAGACCAGATATAGTGAATGCAGGGTTCAGGGAGACCAGATATAGTGAATGAAGGGTCCGGGGAGACCAGATATAGTGAATGCAGGGTCCGGGGAGAGCAGATATAGTGAATTCAGGGTCCTGGGTTTAGTAATACTTTAAGCCTATGAGATGGAAATCTCATCCCTGGGGAACTGAAGCACAAGTGTCCTCACATGAACTTGCCATGCCAGGCAAGAACATGCCAGAGGAAGAGAAGGAACATATCAGTGCTCAACTAATCACTAATGCCTTTTGAAGTAATCCCATAGTTCCACGGAAGCCAGACTGAGAATAGCTAATATTGACATTATATGGCTTGAGATAGCCATTGCCATGAGCTTGTCCAGCCTGTGAGATAGAAATCTTATCCCTGAGGGTTTGTTGCACAAGCATTCTCATAAAGACTTTCACTGCAGAGGAAGAGGGAGGATATCGCTGCTCAAATACCATCTAATGCCATCTGGAGGAATCCCAGGTTTCCATGAAAGCCAGGTTGAGAATGGCAGATTTAGATGTTATATACAGTAGGTTTATGTAGCAATTGCCAACAGCTTGTCCAGCTCGTGAGATGGATGAGGTTTGGTCAAATAATAGTAGAACCCGAGATCTCTTGGGATGGTTATAATGAGAATTTTGCACTTTTACTACATTTCCCTTTAAAAGGTTTAGAAACCTTTCTAACTGATTTTTTCTTGTAAAAAGGCTGGTGTCTGAAATCACACTAGATATATGCAATGTGGCCAGTTTAAATGCAAATCATGGCCAGCAGAGCACTTCTTTAATCTCTTGACATGCTTCAAAACTTGCCTATATTTCTCTCCTCTTGTTCTGAAAACACATTGCCAGTAAATAAATAATTCTATTTTCTCTTTGTCCCATGCATCGTCTCATTTTAATATGTTTACTTGTTTACCGGATTACGACCGTGTCTTGCTTCGGCAATGAAAAATTGAAAGGGCAGGCAGCGGAATAAAGAAAAAATGGATCTGAGCCTCGTACACTTCCTAAAAGCCTCTACATTCACTGTGCAGCAAGACAGGCGGATGTGGATTGCATAAGAATTCAATTAATTTGTACATGAAAGAGACAATTTTTAGTAGGCCATTAGCCTCTATAATGGTCTCATATACCAGAAGCCAGTCATTTGTAACCCCGCCAGAGGAATGACAAACTGCCTGTTACAAATCTCGCTAAAGCTAAACTGTTTTATAAATGACACGCTTAACCCTTTGGTGCCACCAGTGCAATTAGCTACAATGATGCAGATTAATAATTGAAAAGCTTTAGCTAAGCTCAACAAACATATCGAAAACACCCATCAATCACTGGCAAGAGAGCTGAATAATTGTCAGAGCGAACTGTTTGTGACAGCTATAAATATCCAGAGCTTTTATTCCCAATCTTTTCATTTTGATATGCAAATGACATAAACAAATAGTGGGAAAAAAAACTGCCCATGGAGCAATTAAAATGTTCATTAAAACTGGGTAGATTGGGAAAATGATTTATTTTAGTAGTTGGTAAAACAATGTTGGCTTAATTGTGTAGTGCTTTGAATTCTCTAGTATGTTGTAATATGGCGGAATGTCAGCTCCATAAGTATTTATTTGGTGTGTTTTTATAGGACTTACCTACTGTGTTTCGTACCTATAGAGGCCTACTCTGCATGGCCGCCTAAGGTTTAAAGACAGAAGTTCACATTAGTGGAAATCAAGTGTAGTATCATTGTACAGAAGGTGAGGTCTAAAGGGTATTTCCACCTTTGTAGCCACATTGGGATATCTCCTACTTTCTACTTGTTATGTCCCCATTCAAATAGCAACACTTAAATGTGTATATATATATATATATATATATATATATATATATATATACCAAGGGCAGACTGATCATTTGGAAACTCGGGCACTGCCTGAGGGCCCGGGGTCAGTAGGGGGCTCCATGAGATGCCCCTGGTACCTTTTTCATATGCTTTTTTGAGTTTGGGCAAGGACACAGGGGCCCCATGATCCCCTATTGCCCGAGGGCCCCATGAGTTGTCACAGGGGCCCCATGATCCCTATTGCCCAGGGGGCCCCTGATATATACTGTGTATATATATATATTATATATATATATATATATATATATTAATCTGCGCTAAAAGTAAGATTAAAAATGAAAGTGCAAATATATAGCAGCTGAACACTATACCTCGTTACCAGGCAATATAAAAGTATACATATAAAGTGCAGCGCTTAACAGTAAAAAAAGAAAAACAATATATATATATATATATATACATATATACACACTCACCAGCCACTTTATTAGGTACACCTGTTCTGTTCAATTGCTTGGTAACGCAAATTGCTAATCAGCAAATCACATGGCAGCAACTCAATGCATTTAAGCATCTAGACATGGTGAAGACGACTTGCTGAAGTTCAAAATGAGTATCAGAATGGGGGAAAAAGGGGATTTATGTGACTTTGAACATGTTATGGTTGTTGGTGCCAGACGGGTTGGTCGGAGTATTTCAAACACTGCTGATCTACTGGGATTTTCACGTACAGCCATCTCTAGGGGTTACAGAGAATGGTCTGAAAAAGAGAAAATATTCAGTGAGCGGCAGTTGTGTGGATGAAAAATGCCTTGTTGATGTCAGAGGTCAGAGGAGAATGGGCAGACTGGTTGGTGTAAACAACATGAAATCATGGATCCATTCTGCCTTGTATCAACGGTTCAGGCTGGTGGTGGTGTAATGGTGTGGGGGAGATTTTCTTGGCACTAGTAAGGTGTACCTAGTAAAGTGGCCGGTAAGTGTGTATATATCTATATATATATTATATATATAGTAAATATTGCAGTTTACGTTTTTAGAAGCTCTTTTGTGGAACTTAAGCGAGTTAGAATTCTACTTAGTTCTTTTCGTTGCAGGGAGGCTGCTAAGCTGTGTTTACCATAATGAAGCCAGTCTGAAAGACAGGTATCTTATCAGTTGTGCTAGATTTGAATACTGTATGTCATACAAAGTGTTTAAAAACCACTTCCAGACCGGACACTTTTACCCCCATTCCTGACCAGGGCAATTTTCAGCTTTTAGGCGCTATCACACTTTGAATGACAATTGCGCAGTCATGCAACACTGTACCCAATGAATTTTTTAAAAACCATTTTTTTTAGATAGATAAAGCTTTATTTTGGTGGTATTTATTCACCACTGGGATTTGTATTTTTTTTTGCTATGTAAATGAAATGTCCAAAAAATTTTTAAAAAAAGTGTTTTTTTTAAATAAAATTTTGCAAAATATAAATAATATTTCATTATAAATCTTAGCCAAAATTTATTCCACTATCTTTTTAGTAAAAAAAAAAAATCCAAATTAGTTTATAAGCAAAAAATTATAATTTTTTTAAACTTTTTTTTTACATTTTTATTTTTTTATATTATTATTTTTATTTTTTTTTTTACATACTGTCACCCTAGCAGTACAGTGTCACCATGGTGACACTGTACTACTTGTGATGGGGGTGATAAAGATTTTTTTTTTTTTTTTAAACTGATTGCTTTTTACACCCATATAGGATATAAAAGCAATCATTTCTCTTTCTCTCTGTGTGCATTCCTGCACTCATTGAGAAATACAGAGTGAGCTGTGATTGGTCACAGCTTGTCACATGGTACAAGGCTTTTGTGAATAGCCTTGTACCATGTGACCTCTGTGATCATTCACAGATTTCACACATAGTAAGCAATGATGTCAGAAGTGACATCTTGCTTACTACTTTGCATGTGATCACTGATTGGCCAATCAGTGATCACATGATCGGGACCTCGTACAGAGGTCCCGTCCGACGATCGGTGTTTCACTGTGTCCGGAGGACACAGCGGGCACCGGATCGCGGTGCTGCGCGCTCCCAGGGAGCCGCGCACAAAGCAGGGTGCGGGGAGGCCGTTTATAGACGGCCACCCGACCTGCAGTGCCACCGTCTGGCCGTTTATATACAACGGCCGGTCGGGAAGTGGTTAAAGTGAAACTGCACTGCATCTGAGCACCACCATCCAATCAAGAAGTAAATGAAGGAATGTATAAAAAAGTTTAAAACAAGTAATATAATATACTTTCCTATCTATTTGCTAATGTTTGCAGCATAAGGATTAAAATTAGTCCGTGTTGATTGAGAGAGTGAAGTTCCACTTTAAGGTTTAGGAGCTGGGCTTCTCCATTGTATGTTAATGGGAAGTGGACAGATCACACTGAGCTAGTGGAGAAATGCTTGCAGTCAGCCATGACATCTATGTTTATTATATATGCAGGTTATGCAGCCTCATAGGACAATCAGGGGGAGAATGGAAACTCCTCCTACAAGCTTTAATCAGTGCTCTGCTGGACACTGATAGAAGTCACACGACTGCTCTAACTGCTGATGAGAAAAGTTATTTTAACAGTTTATATTTACTAAAATAATTGCATTTCTATGTTCTGTGTACTGTGGGAGACCAGATATAGTGAATGCAGGGTCCGGGGAGACCAGATATAGTGAATGCAGGGTCCGGGGAGACCAGATATAGTGAATGCAGGGTCCGGAGAGACCAGATATAGTGAATGCAGGGGTCTGGGGAGAGTGGATATAGTGAATGCAGGGTCCGGGGAGACCGGATATAGTGAATGCAGGGTCCGGGGAGACCAGATATAGTGAATGCAGGGTCCGGGGAGACCAGATATAGTGAATGCAGGGTCCTGGGAGACCAGATATAGTGAATGCAGGGTCCGGGGAGACTAGATATAGTGAATGCGGGGTCCTGGGAGACCAGATATAGTGAATGCAGGGTCCTGGGGAGACCAGATATAGTGAATGCAGGGTCTGGGGAGACCAGATATAGTGAATGCAGGGTCCGGGGGAGACCAGATATAGTGAATGCAGGGTCCGGGGAGACCAGATATAGTGAATGCAGGGTCCGGAGAGACCAGATATAGTGGGAATGCAGGGTCTGGGGAGAGTGGATATAGTGAATGCAGGGTCCGGGGAGACCGGATATAGTGAATGCAGGGTCCGGGGAGACCAGATATAGTGAATGCAGGGTCCGGGGAGACCAGATATAGTGAATGCAGGGTCCTGGGAGACCAGATATAGTGAATGCAGGGTCCGGGGAGACTAGATATAGTGAATGCGGGGTCCTGGGAGACCAGATATAGTGAATGCAGGGTCCGGGAGACCAGATATAGTGAATGCAGGGTCCTGGGTTTAGTAACACTATAAATGTATCAGCAGATTTAAATACAATAACAACTTGAAGTTAAACTCCAGCTCACACTTTATAATCAGTTATAGCAAACAGTGTTTTTTTCCTTTTGAGATAAAGGTTTTATTAAATAAAGATGATCCTAATTGTCATATCCCTTGTAACATGAAAAATAATTTTACATAAGTGGATCTATCCAGAACCCCCCACCATTTCTTTGTTTATAGACAAACTCTCATGTTTTTCGCATGAAATAGGCGGAGGACTCCTTACATACAATAAGGAGTTACAAGTCCAAAAATTCTTTGATATCTGTGAATTTTTCATTCAAAACCTTGCCTACAGATATCTAACAATCGATAGTACAATGTTTTCAATATACCCTATGGTTTCAAACCAGACTGTTAATCAATGACCCTCCAATTGATATCCTACCCTCCACTTAAAGAATAACTAAAGGCAAAAACCTTTTTTTCTTAGTTTTGGATAGAGCTGAGAAGGATTAGAACATCTGTCAGTTTTTATTAGGGAGACTCTCTTATGTTTTTTTTGGGATAAAGGATTTACCCAAATAAATAAAAGCTGATCATTTTAATCACCACTGCCAGTGTTAAATGGTCTGTCTCATCCATGTAATATGATACATTCTGCTGGAGAGCGTATGCTTCTGAAAAACAACAGACTTACTGGCTGGATCACCAGATGCAAATAGAAGAAAGAAAGATTAAAAAAGAAAACTAATGCACATCCATGATTAAGATCCATCTTCCCTATCTACATCCTCACTGCATTCATTGACTCCAAAGATACTGGTGCCCTTTAATGAATTTTTTTTTTCTGTTTTCACTCATTAGCCCTATCCTATGAAGTGTTTTGTTAGAAACAATCCTATTAAGTATCTTGGCCTTACTGGCTCATTCTTGGTGTCATTTATCAATGTATAAATATCAACAGGGATTAAGACGCATGCTTATAATGGCTATAAACTATCTGGGACAACGGTTTATTGTTGGCTACTACAGACTGCTTTATGTGCCAAATGACTTCAGTTATAGATAGCGCTGGCAAACAATATGTGGATCCGAGCTGCAGTGGTACCTGCACGGTGAAGGTTACAATTAGCAATGAATGAATCTTCAAGGATTCTCTCCTACGGCAATGTAGTAAAGACAAACCTGCAATCTGCTTCTCAGGTTATATTTTTTGTATATCTCCAACAAGAAGTGAACTGGGAAAGAGATCCAAAGGACTTCTTAATTCAAGACTGTTCCCCCATCCATTTGTAAATGGGCCAATCGCCAACCATGCATTACAACGAGGATGTGGCTCATGACCAGGAGTGGACTGACCATTTGGAAACTCGGGCACTGCCCGAGGGCCCGGGGGTCAGTAGGGGCCCCATGAGATGCCCCTGGTACCTTTTTCATAGGCTTTTTTGAGTTTGGGCAAGGACACAGGGGCCCCATGATCCCCTATTGCCCAGGGGCCCCATGAGTTGTCAGTCCATCCCTGCTCATGACCTTATGCAAGCACCAAGCCTTCAAGTCATAGATGCCCTATTTTGAACTTTACTAAGGTCAGTAAAGTTATACAGGAGCCCACAGTCCACATCAATGAAGTAAACAGGTAAGGGGTCCAAAAGAACCCCTTTAATATTTTATAGAGTGAACCAGTTTGCCCATCAAATTATAGCAAACACCTCATTGTCACAGTTGGGACCAATTCACTGCAAATCTGTTTTTTGGTAAATCCAAGACGATTATCATTAGCTAATGGTTGCTATCTGTCTACTACTAATGCACTATTACCCTGCATTGCATTTTAGGTAATGGTAGGTTTGTCTGGAACCCACAAAATAAACATATTGACTGAGACTAGCTTAACCACTTGCCCTCCTGAGGATTTACCTCTCTTCCTGACCAGGCCATTTTTTACATGATGGCACATCGTCATTTTAGCTGACAATTGCTCAGTCATGCAATGCTGCACCCAAATGAAATTTACGTCCTTTTTTTCCCACGACTTGAGCTTTTTTTTGGTGGTATTTAATCGACAATTTTGAGAAAAAAACTATATTTTTGGCTTTTTGCTATTAAACCTGACCAGTAAAAAAATGTAAAAAAAATCAAATTTCGTCATAAATGTACACCAAAGTGTATTCTGCTCCATTTCTTTGCTACAAAATAATCCCAATACATGTAAATTAATTGGTTTACGTGAAAGCTATAGCATTTACAAATGGCGGTATACTGTATATACTGGGATTTTTATTTTCATTTTTACTAGTAATGGAGGTGAGCAGCGACTTATAGCGGGACCGTGGGACCGTGGCAGACATGCTGACACTGGGGGGATTTGACTTGGTGTCACTGACATCCCCAGTGACTCCAATACAGTGATCAGTGCTAAAAAAAAGCACTGACACTGTACTAATGGCACTGGCCAGGAAGGGGTTAACATGAGGGGACATCAAAGGGTTAACTGTGTGCAGGGAGTGTTTTACTAGGGGGCGGGGTGTGTGTGCTTCAACCTATGGTTGAAGGAAATAAAATCGCATAATGTATGGTCTGCCTTATCAGTCAGATCACCAGAGGTAACTGAAGGAAAAAATCCTAAAAAGAAAGTGAATGCAGCCATCGCACATAAGAACTGGTAAGCTGCAATATAAAACATTTTGGTTTTCTGGTTTAATACCGCTTTAAATTCCTTAAATATTAATGAACTGTATACATCCAGAAAAGGCAGATATGCATAAACAGATATCCTCTTTGCATATTTATGATGGAATGTTATGTTTTTGTTCAGAGTTTACTTTTTATCTTAAAACAAAAGATGGGTTCTTCAAGGAAGAGGAGCGAGGAACAAAGACAACATACGATTCCTTTGAAGTGTTTTGACACTTTCTTTAATATCTGTTGAATGCAGAGAGTTTTCCATATTTAAAAGTTATTTAAAAATTGAAGTCCACAAGTTTAGAACTTGGCATCCACTCCTTAAATATTTAAGGGTTGTTAACAATCTGTTACCATTTTTGTTTTAATAAGAGATATCAACTTAGCGGCAGTGCCTTCCACTCCATCTTACTGGGGTCACTGGTGGTTCAGAAAAGTCTGATTCCTTTTCCAGTGCCTTCCACTACATCTTACTGGGGTCACTGGTGGTTCAGAAAAGTCTGATTCCTTTTCCAGTGCCTTCTACTACATCTTACTGGGGTCACTGGTGGTTCAGAAAAGTCTGATTCCTTTTTAACCAGTGCCTTCCACTCCATCTTACTGGGGTCACTGGTGGTTCAGAAAAGTCTGATTCCTTTTCCAGTGCCTTCCACTCCATCTTACTGGGGTCACTGGTGGTTCAGAAAAGTCTGATTCCTTTTCCAGTGCCTTCCACTCCATCTTACTGGGGTCACTGGTGGTTCAGAAAAGTCTGATTCCTTAACCAGTGCCTTCCACTCCATCTTACTGGGGTCACTGGTGGTTCAAAAAAGTCTGATTCCTTTTCCAGTGCCTTCCACTCCATCTTACTGGGGTCACTGGTGGTTCAGAAAAGTCTGATTCCTTAACCAGTGCCTTCCACTCCATCTTACTGGGGTCACTGGTGGTTCAAACAAGTCTGATTCCTTTTCCAGTGCCTTCCACTCCATCTTACTGGGATCACTGGTGGTTCAGAAAAGTCTGATTCCTTTTCCAGTGCCTTCCACTCCATCTTACTGGGGTCACTGGTGGTTCAGAAAAGTCTGATTCCTTAACCAGTGCCTTCCACTCCATCTTACTGGGGTCACTGGTGGTTCAGAAAAGTCTGATTCCTTTTCCAGTGCCTTCCACTACATCTTACTGGGGTCACTGGTGGTTCAGAAAAGTCTGATTCCTTTTCCAGTGCCTTCCACTACATCTTACTGGGGTCACTGGTGGTTTAGAAAAGTCTGATTCCTTAACCAGTGCCTTCCACTACATCTTACTGGGATTACTGGTGGTTCAGAAAAGTCTGATTCCTTTTCCAGTGCCTTCCATTACATCTTACTGGGGTCACTGGTGGTTCAGAAAAGTCTGATTCCTTAACCAGTGCCTGATTCCGTTCCACTCCATCTTACTGGGGTCACTGGTGGTTCAGTTCAGAAAAGTCTGATTCCGTAACCAGTGCCTTCCACTCCATCTTACTGGGGTCACTGGTGGGGTCACTGATGGTTCAGAAAAGTCTGATTCCTTTGACACTTGGGCAATCTTTTGAAAGTGAGTTTTAGCTTTTATTTTTTTATTCCCCTTCGAAGCACTATCTGAAACCTGAAGGGCAGATGGGCTATTTATCCAGTGGACCTGAACACTTTTTCTTTGGGGATACAGTTTGAAAGGATGGTCACAGGATGGTATAGGTTGAAGGGGAGTCCCCGATTTTTAAAGCTTAAAGTGACACTAAACATTCAATGTTTATTTGCCATCTATTTATCACTAAAGACCATGCCACTGCATTTAATTTAATTAAAAAAAAGTAAATCTGAGTACCTTTTTTAATCATTTCTGTTCAGAGGTCACATGATGTTTCTCAGGTCTTTCCTGTCCTCGGGGAAAATTCTTGGGGAGGAGTTTCTAGTACTCTGCTGATGTATGAATCTGTGTCTGCATAGCACTGATTGGTGCTGTGATAGTCACATGAAATAAAAAGGCTTTCAGAATAGAAAATTAAAATAATTAAATTACATAATTAATTGCAACATAGTCTTTTAAAGCTTCATTAAAAAAAGCTGTATTTCAAAGCAAATGTGTAGTGTGAAGCAATATGAGGATATGGAGGAAGGAAGGGGAGTGTGATTTACCACTGTGTATACACCCACATGTGTGCCTCTATAGTCACATGGATTGCGCAAAAATAAGAAAAATAGCAAATTAACAGTTTAGAAGGGAACTGAAACTGGAGCATGCTCAGTAGATGTCAACAGTTGGTCTTCACAATATTTGGTTGTAGAGAGCGCACAGACAAAGCTGGAGGGACAGTGAACA